CTATCATTTCTTATTTTCTACTTCCGGCCATTATAAGCGTTAAGGTTTTTATGTAAAGTTTGTCTGGCGAACGCCAAGTATTTAAGTTGTGGCTTTTTTGCCAAGCGAGAGAGAGGAAGCAGTGAGTCGAAGCAGGCCGCTTACCTTAGAAGTTACGCAGTTGCTGGTTGCCTTCCAGGCCAGAGGTTTATCCTCTCGATAAATTTAAACGTATGTGTGTTCTCAGTTATCTGTACTACATACGCTTCCTGTTAATATAAGGCCAATCTTCCACGTTATTATTTTAAAGTTAAATTAGAGTTAGTTCTATTTTATATTTACGTTAGACCCCAAGTAGCGGGTCTGTTATTCCGAAGTACGGAAGTTAGTGTAAATAGAGAAAATAAAGGGTTTTATATACCTTCTTTGTATCCTGTCTACTTCCCACAATATTGAACATAGTTTTAGTAAGCTCTCTGTTCCGGTCAGGTCCTTGCATGTTCCCGAAGAAGGTAAGAAGGAACATAGAACGATAAGTTGTTTATTTAATATTTAATTTCAAAGATTCAAGAAATAACTAACATGCCTTGGATCTCCGTTAACGGATTTTCATTCAGGTTGTCGCTAAAAAATAAGCGTATCAATAGTTCCTCAATCTTTCAAGCGTCCTTTGCAGCCTTCACTTCAGTGTGAAGTACAAGTCTCATATAGTCTATTGTTCTTCATAAAATAACTTGAAGACGTTCAACATTGGCCCAGCTTTAATAGCATTGATACACTTATAACTAAATTTAGACTTCTTTAGAACAGGAATTTTTAGCTACCAGGTTTCTTGTGAATAACAAACACACAACCTTTATGGATGCTCATCTTTTATCAATTGAAGCAACCCTTTCCTTATTCCGGCTTTCTTTTTTTCCAAAACTATCAATTAGGAGCACCATCTGTAGTACAAGAGTATTATATTTTTTATTACTATAAATATCTTTGGAGGTAGTGGTGCTTTCTAATGATTTACAGAAATTTCTTCGAAATCCCCCTTAATTGAAATAAATACTTAACAATCAACTCATACGTGAGTAGGCGTTCAAGTGCTTCACTCTCTCAAAGTTGGTTCATCCTTTGTACCGAAACGTTCTTGTTTCAGCTTTCAACAAGTTTATTTAATATCCTCATCATTTCTCTTCTTCTGCAACAGTATTGTATTTGGCAGCTTTAACGTCTTGTCTCTTTTTCTAGAACAGTTTAATGCTGATATTGATGCCTTGATTAAATTCTTCCCCACAGTACGGCTTTCAGATAAGCTGATATGAAATATAAATAGCCTCAAGAGCGCGATTAACAGTGCATTATGACAGTAAATAGAACTTAATATTCTTTTCAAAAATTTCCTTAAAGTGTGAATAATTCAAATCTGAATTAATATCAGCATTATTTTCTTCAAATGTGCCTCAAGCCACCTAGTTTCATGATTTGCTGGTCAGGCATTATTGGCAAAAGGACAAAAGTTGACCGTTTATGGACGGGTATGAACCAAATTTAAATAGCCTCTAAAATGACGAACGTTTTTTCGTTCACCCTCATTTCACTAAGGGCTGAAAGAAATAAATAAGATCAATATAAACAAAGCAGGAAAGCAGCGCTGTTGCCTTCAAGGAGGATATACCGGTTGCCATTCCCACAGTAAAAAATAAAGTAAATTTTTTGGCTAAAATGTGCGAGAAACGTCTGGAAAGCATAATGTGTCAGTTATTTAAATGTCCATGTCTACAGCGAGAATGCTTTATAAAATATTTAAAATGCACCTTATAAAAATTTAAAATTGGTATACATTTTGTCAAATTAGATAAAAAAAAAATAAATAAAAAATAATGCCGGTATTTTCAGCAAACAATTTCCTGTTCTGCTCCGATATGTGAGTTTGTTATCGAATGTCGTACTTCCTCTATTTCTAGAGAGACAGCTGTTATGCTTTTTCCCCACTAAGGGATTTTTCTCAGTAGCGGAGCGGCAACACTCTGCGTACTAAAGTAATGTAATGGTCATTACTGTTTATTTTTATTGTGGTATAGCAAGAAAAGTGGTAATTAGTTTAGCATAATAACCCAGCAATACACGTTTAATATACAATATTGTACTTCTGTTCTAAGTTTCATATTGTTTGTATAAAGCTGGTGCTTCTCCTAACTATTTCATTTTCCATCTTCACCGTCAATCATGTAGAAAGTAGTCCATATGAAAAGAAATAATACTGAGTTTCCAAATGAACTACTGCAATTTAAAAAATTTTAAACCATTATATGAGAGTGTGGTACATGTCATTTTCCTGAAGATTTTACAGATGAATGTGAATTTTTGTTCAAATTCTTGCAAAAGTATGCCTTAGAATTGTAGGCTTTTAAATATAAAGCAGAACTTTAACATAAAATATTTGCATGCTAAATTGCTTTTTGAACACTGGAGGAATCTTATGCATGGTATGTATGTATAATTCACAAAAGGGCAGGATTTAATGGAGCAGATGTGCAATTATGCAGAACAGGAATCTTATATGTGGGATGTATGTAATGAGGTACCTCTGGAAACACCGAATTTAGTAAATCATACACATATCTATGCAGTGGAGAAACCTTATGTATGTGATGTATGTAATAAATCATTTGCTCGAAAGAAGAACTTAGTACTTCATTTACGTATCCATACAGGGGAAAAGCCTCATGTATGCAGTTTATGTCACAAGGCATTTAGACTGAAAGGTAGTTTAAGAGTACATTCAAGAATTCATGCAGGAAAAAAGCCTTATGTATGTAATATCTGTCAGAAAGCATTTAGACAGAAGAGCAACTTAACAGTGCATTTAAGAATTCACACAGGAGAGAAGCTTCACATATGTGAGATATGTAACAAATCATTTACACAAAAGAAGAATTTTGAGTCACATTTTCTCATTCACACAGGAGAAAAACCTTATGTTTGTAATATATGTCATAAGGCATTCAGATTGAAGAGCAATTTAACAAAACACTTAAGAATTCACACAGGAGAAACGCTTCACCAATGTGATATATGTAACAGATCATTTACACAAAAGAAGAGATTTGAGTCACATTTGCTCATCCACTCAGAACAAAAACCTTATGTATGTAATATATGCCATAAGGCATTCAGACTGAAACGCTATTTAATGGTACATTTAAGAGTCCACACAGGAAAAAAATCTCATGTTTGTGATGTATGCAATAAGTCGTATGCACAAAAGACATCTTTAGCGAAGCACATGCGTATTCACACAGGAGAGAAGCCTTATATATGTGAGATATGTGAGAAGTCATTCACACAGAAGGATCATTTAGACAGGCATATACATAGCCACACAGGAGAGAAGCCTTATATCTGTAATGTATGTGAAAAGTCCTTCACACGAAAGGAAGGATTATTGAGGCATATGTCTCATGTCCATACTGGAGAGAAACCTTATGTGTGTGAAATATGCAACAAATCATTTGCAGAAGTGCGGAGTTTTGGGAAGCATATGCGTAATCACACAGATTGGAAATCTTATGCATGCGATGTATGCAACAGGTCATTCGCACAAAAGGAGGACTTAGTATCACATTTACGTATCCACACGGAGGAAAAGCCTCACGTGTGTGACATATGCCAAGAAGCATTCACATTCAAATCTAATTTAATCAAACATTTACGTATCCACGCGGGGAAGAAGCTTCATGCGTGTGATGTATGCAACAGATCATTCATACGAAAGAAGGATTTGATGTTCCATTTGCTCATCCACACAGGAGAAAAACCGCATGTGTGTAATATATGCCATAAAGCATTCTCACTGAAGAGCAATTTAAAAATACATTTGAGAATCCACACAGGAAAAAAATTTCATGTGTGTGATGTATGTAATAAATCGTATACTCAAAAGGGCAATTTAATGATGCATATGCGCATTCACACACAAGAGAAGCCTCATGCGTGTAAGATCTGTGACAAATCATTTACCCGAAAGGCACATTTAGAGAATCATATGTGTACCCACATGGGGGAGAAACCTTATATCTGTGATATATGCAACAAATCGTTGAAACGAAAGGAGGGATTGTTGATGCATATGCGTCTCCATACTGGAGAGAAACCTCATGTATGTGAAACATGTAATAAGTCATTCACAGAAAAACGGAGTTTAGTGAAGCATATGTATATCCACAGTCGAGAAAACTCTCATTTACATAATGTAGACAGTAATGTCCATGAAAGCATGATTTAAGAAGGTATATGAAAGCACGTAGAAGAAAATTCCACTTAAATGATACAGATCATTTCCCAGTTAAAATTATGTTGTTGTTTTTATTTGAGATATATAAAACCTTCAAATTCACTATCATCCTTACTATTATGTATGATAGCTTTTTTGACCATAAATTATGCCAAGCATTTTAAACAATATCTGCAGACATGTTTTCCTATCATCATTGCAATGCTTCACAGAGCAGATTTTGCGTTAAAAAAAATTCTTGAATGGTTATTGCACAGTTTGGAAAATTTTGCAGTTTTTAAAATGGCTTTTTTATATCTGCATTTCATTAGGAGCAGCACTGTATATTCATTGGCTAAATGATGCATGTACAGTATGGAGATGGTATCTTTTATGGAATTTTAAAGTATGAGCCAAACAGTTGTCTTTAATCAGAACAGTTTTTGCATTGTTTGGTAAACCAACCGATTTCAAACTTTATCAGACCACAGGTCAGATTTTCAGGAACAGCTTTAGTATTATTCCCTTTTGGTGAGAATTTTTTTGGCACGATTAATGAAAAATTCTGATAACCCTGTTATTAATGGTAACCCTAAATACTGAGCTGACACACATGTTGCCATTACTGTCCACATAACGAATTTGGTAGGTATCATAGCTTTGATGGCGGGAGGGATAAATTGCAAGTTTTCTTAATACTTTTGTGTTAGGAATGCTCAGCATAAAAACAAAGGAATGGTCAGCATTAAAACTTTTAAAACATTTTTTAAAATACCAAAATTTGGTAGTTAAGACTGTATGCTTTATTATTACATCACTTGATTCTTGAGATTTTTCTAAATGTCAACTCTGCATATTATAAACTCTCCTTCCCCCCCAAAAAAAAACACAGATTTTTAGTAGCATAAGGTAAACACTTGCTGTTTTTGGTACTTTTCCAATTTGCCAGTGCAGGCGATAAATTTTAGACCATTCATGGTAATTAAGTCAGTTAGGATGCAATCACATTGCTTGCTCACCCGAAGGCCAAAATATAGAAAAGGCAAAATCAAGGGCTAAATTCATCAGTTCTAATGAGAAGTAAAGCACTGCGGTTTTATATAATTTCTGAGTAAGCTATTCGTCGAATTGAAATCTTCTGCATTTAACTTGTTTCCATAAGATTTAATTAATTAATGTAGATAATTATTGAGAGAATTAGATTTTTATAGCGTAGTTTATGTGAGATGAGATTACTTGGGATCAGGTGATATGGACCGGCAAATCAGGATGTTGCACGATGAAAGCATAGTAAATTCTTAAATTAATGTTTTTTTACAAATTATCATCCTTTTTACAAAATTTTAAATGATATTAAAATGTTTATGTCTTTAAAATAAAAAAAAAATAGAACTAACATTTGTTAACACTTTTTATGTGTAACCGTTTGCTGTTACCAATAAAGTCTGCTTGGCAAGATTTGCGCCAGCGAAACGGAAAAGTACCGTGTTCTCTTTGCTAAGGAACCACATGCAAATTTAGACTTCTTACATGTTTATTAAAATGGACCACGATCAAAATTACCATGGTCTAAAAATACTTTTTTCCTTCATTTCTTAAATTAGAGCTATAGGGATGTATAATTATGTGAATTCATAGAGGAAGTTTCCCTTTATATGTACTATATGGTTCTTGAATACAAGCCGGTATCGGGGATTTTTCTAAATCTAAATTTGCACTAAATTGTGGAGACACACTATTGCTCTTCTGTACATTCAACTAAGCAATACAGAATGTCCATAATTTATTTTTCTTTCATATAATTCTAATTCTCATTTTAGACAACCACACTATTTGGCTTTAGCATCATAAATAGTTCTGAGATTTCTTTTAATTTTCTTGTTTACAATTGATACAACAAGATTCCACAGTTGGACAGTGTACTTCACTGTGTCTGGTGTCTCCACATCTAGAGCATTTTTACTACAACATTTTTATAATTTGTGCAACTAGAAAATATAATATTGTCCAGATTTTAAAATATATTGCACATAATTTACAATTCTCAAATCTTGTAGATCTCACATTCTAATAGCTTTATATGAATAACCTTCATTGAGTATCTATCATTACTTTTATTAATAGTATGTTGATATAAATGCTGAAATTTATTTAAAATTTTACGTAAATTTTCTACATTACTTGGATATTTTATCTAACAGAAATCTGAATTTGTTGTAATAAAAGTAAAAGTACAATTTATATATAAGAATTTGACTACTTAAATACTAATTTCAACATCTTTAAATGTAATTATTATAAAGTTTCGATATAATGTTTGGTATCATACAGTGTAATTAAACTTTAGGTACACATTAAGTGAATTATCACTACATCTAAAGTAACAACTGAATCATAAGAAGGGTGTAAAAGATCCTTTTTTAAAACTAAATAAGAATAGAAGGCATACTTTGTGCTTACAAATCAGCCAACCACTTGTGGCAAAATAATTTACGATAACAATTAAGTTCAAATGTAAAATTTATATTCAAATTAAGTAGTATCCAAAGGCTACAGAAATCAATCAAAAGCGAAGTTCGCTCAAAACTTAACCGGCATGGAATTCAGCTTTTGGCAATTACAGTCAAAAGTCTTTAATCCGGACTTCGGCGATTCCGGATTATCGGTTTTTCTGGATTATAGATCATCAGTTTAAATCTGGTAAGATGGCATGCAGAAATTATAAAATTAAAAATATGAAACCGTAATTTATGAAATAAAGAATAATTATGATCTAAAGGGTATCAAAATTTACAAAAAAAAAAAGCTTAATATTTATTTGTTTACTTTATTAAACATTTCTTTCAACGCACGCATGCGCAAAGCATTACATATCAAAGAGTCGCAAATCATATCAAAGAGTACATCGAGATGAAATACTACATTTGGTAATGAACTATAAACCAAATAAAATAAAAACATCAGCCCTGAAGATAAGGATAGTGCTGACAGATCAACTTCCAGTTCATTGCGCGCCGCAATGTTCCCCTTCCTTGCACAGCAGCATGAAATTGATAAACAGATTTAGGAATTGTTAGAGAAACAAAAAGATATGTCTTTATCCATTTTTTGCAGCAATTCCACTTTTTGTTTGATGGACATCGAAACGTACTTTCGCTTTGTAGATCCTTTGGCAGTATCCAGCATCGGAAATTCTATTTGACATAATCGAAAGTTCAAGCTTACTTTTATAAAATTGCTTTAACATTCTGCAAAAACTAATAAGCTGGATCCAATTCGAAGATTAAAGAACAACGCAATCTGCAACATTAACTGAAATAGATAATTTTAGCTTAGCTTATACCGTCCGTTATACATTAAACGCACATGCGTAAACATATTATGCGCATGCGTAAAGCAAACATTACGCATAGTCGAAATTAGAAAATTGCAACCAGAAAACTATTTATGTGTATTCGTAATATTTCTAATGAATTTGATTTAAATCATATCAAAGATGGAGTACATCAAGATGAAATACTACATTTAGTAAGGAATTATAAGCCAAATAAAATAAGAACATCTGCTCTGAAGATAAGGATAGTGCTGACAGATCAACTTCCAGTTCATAGCATGGCGCATCCCCCCCTCGCCGCAGAGCAGTGCGAAATTGATAAACATATTTCGGAATGGTTAGAGAATCAAAGGATATGCCTTTGTCCATTTTTTTGCAGCAATTCCACTTTTTGTTTGATGGACATCGAAATATGCTTTCGCTTTGTAGATCCTTTGGTAGCTCCAGAATCGGAAACTCTTTTTGACATAATCGAAAGTTCAAGCTTACTTTTTGTAAAATTGCTTTAACAGTCTGCAAAAAATAATAAGCCGAATCCAATTAGAAGATTAAGGAACAACGCAATCTGCAACATTAACTGAAATAGATAATTAGATAATTTTAGCCTAGCTTATACCATCCGTTATACATTAAATGTGCATGCTTAAACGTATTATGCCCATACATGAACGCATTATGCATTGCTGCATGCGCAGAAAGTTGTAGTGGATTATAGATCATTCCGGATTATGGGCATCCAGATTAACAACTTTTGACTGTATATGCAAGACTGAAGACCACAAATCTTATCTTATCTAGCATGGCCACGAGAGGCAAAACATGCTTTGTTTTACAAACTAAAAACCTCATTTGTGTTCTGGTGGGAAAATGGACAGGGAAAGTGGGAGTAAAGATCCCAAACATAAAATAACTCTGGTTTCAAAATAAAGGAACCTTACATTATACTTTGTACCCTGATTAATATTTTCACTACATGAAATAGTGTAATACATTTTTTGTTTGCATCATATATTATTTATTTTACTTAAATGCTGTCCAAAACTGAACAGGATTTTGCAAACATATTGACCATATTTTTCAACATATACATCACCACTTCACTTCAGAAATAAGATTTTTTAAGAAATCAATTAATTTCATGTATGTTTCCATGTGTTCATTAATTTCATGTATCAATCAATTGCTGTTGGAAAAACTGTTTCAAAATGAAAAAAATGAGGTAACTACAAATATTATTATCACAACTTTAACTCATTAACCGCCAAAACAACAAGGAATGTTTCTTTTCTCATGAAAATAATAACAAATATTAAATTAAGCATTTATAACATAAATTTACATTGAAAATAAAAAAAAATGCTCTTACCTGTGTGTGTTACACGCGAATGTTGCGTTCGCGCAACGTCAGCAGAATAAGACTATGGATGTTTAGTGAGTAGGATTGTACTCGTGTGATATTTCTTTTGAGTGGAGCGCAGGATTACTTTTTAGCTGTATAACGTTTTATAAATCTACAAATTCACTTTACTTGTAATTAATTTAATACTAAAATAATACATTGTATTTCTTTTACAAATACAGATTATTTCATTTGAAAGATTCAAGCATGAAAAGCTTGATTACAATCATGATGTAAAGCTACATTACATACTTTGCATCTATAAACAGTCTGGCTATGGTACTCTTTACAACAAAGTCTTTTGTTATCAACAGACTTTATGATAAAATGCCTACCAACTCCATGCAATGGTTTTTAAATGCTGAATTTACTAGGTCTTCCTGTTGCTGATCCATTTCTGGCTAATTCTACACTCTCAATAGGAGTTTCCAAAAGGAATAATGCATTCTTGCGTCTGAAATCTAAGAGACTTTATATTTCCAGTAGTAAAAAGTAGTGATATTTAGTAAGTTTAGATACGGTTTCACCTCATATAATTTATCAGTATTGTCAATTTGACTATTGTCAAATGCAAATTCTTTTTCGTAGTCCTGTACTGCAAACGTGATATCGATTCTCGTACAACAGGAACATAAATGTCCTTATCAAAAGACCAATACATTTTTTCTTGAGGTAAAGAATAATATCCTGTAAGCAATAATATTCCAATAAATTTTCTTATATAGGCTTCAGATGTAATAAATTCTGGGCCTTTTTTTTTTTTTTTTTTTTCTCCTGAGCATATATATTTGTCTGTTCAACGAGAAGAGAGTAAATGTCTAAACCAAAACGAAAATCGAAAATCTGTGCACTAGTTTTACCTTGTATTTTGTCTCTTATAATTTCTCTTCTATCTCTTTCTTCATGTTCTTCCTGAAACATAACTAACAGTTCCTTTTTTATCCACATCAAGATTTCAATCTTCTACTTTTTAAACTTTTTAGTACGACTATAACTGCTTTTAGAAGGCTGAAACTTACTTCTTACGTGAATTTCAACTTCCCCACCAGTATCATTTGGTAAAATATCATTATCATTATCTAAAACATTGCCATTCCTTTCTTTTTCATCACTAGTTTCTGCAATTTCTGGGGGAACAACAACACTATCAGTTTCATTCTGGTCATTATTAACATTATCAACATCTGTTTCTTCATCAAAAAATCTTTGAAGGGCTTCATCTAATGTAAGATACCTCATTCTAGGCATTTTTAAACAACCAAAACATCGAAAGGAATGAGTGAAAAAGGAGATTGACTACCCGTTTCCTGCTGACGTTGCCTCAGCGCAACACCTGTTTTCACTTGCTTCCCAACATAAATATAAACATCTGACTGATGTAATGTTCTGATAAACGGTAACCTTGACTAAAAAT